TCCGCCCTCGGATGCAATCCGGATTGTGGTGCGCTACACGGCTTCAGTTACTGTTCCAGTACCCTCCTTCCGTGTCCATTCACTGCCCACGATCCTGATCCCGATGTCCTGTTCACCAGAGGAGACGCAGTCCTTTAGAGATTCTGCCACTGCTATGGCCACACCATTCCGTTTGGTGTCTCCCCCCTTGTAGAAGACTTTGACACCTTCTCCATCTCGCGCGCGCTTCTGCGCAATCCTGTCCATTCGCCGTTTTTTGAAGGCACAGAACTTGGATATTCTTACGTCTCATGAGGTCGGGCAACCTTCCACGTTCAGGGTCCCAATTCGAACTAGCTTCTTTGGTCGAGGTCGTTCACCCTCGGGGTAGCTAGTATTAGTTAGCCTAACTTCCTGGAATACAAGTATCACATTCGCCGAGGCAAAAATGCGCTTGAAAAAATAGATAAGTGTTGAAAAACCGTGTTCAGCCAAAAAATTTTCCGAGCTTAATTTGATTGCCGCTCTGCATGCAGTTGGAAACATTTAACGTTGCTATTGTATTAATAGCTAATCAGTGCTTCACAATTCCTGGCTTTACCGACTTTGGGGGAAAAGGATCGTTTTGCGGATGGTGTTCTGCTTTTTTTCAAGAAAAATCGAAGATCAATAAAAGTCCCGTGAGCGATGCAGCGATCCGTTCTCACAGCAGGTGGCACAACCGCAGAAATCGGGAGGTATGTATATCGACAGCCCGTATGGGAGCTGTATGGGATTGAGTTGTGATGGGACTTTTTCCTGGGCCGACCGAGCGATTTCCCGCGACGTGATGCTTGACCCTGCTCGCCACCCAAGAAGGGCGCATTTCGTGCAAAGGACGCGGTTTCTGGTGACAAGCAAGTTAAAAGCTGCCGCTGTTAGGGAACCGAGAGAGATTCCCTTGCGCAGAGACATACCGCAGTCTTGCGCGTGCTAAAAAACAAATCAGCTCGGAATTAATTTTTTTTTTTCATTGGTTAGTGGTTTCAGCGCGGAGGATTTCTCCTGCTTTCTTGGTTGAAACACCGGTATTAATGTGACCGGTTAGATAGGTGGAAAACCTGGTCGGCAAAAAAGCCCATGCCCTACAAAACTTTCACAAGTTCAATTCTTTAGACGCGCGAGGACCTTGGCTGGGAAGAATTGGAACATGCGGACATCGCGTCCCAAGCACTAGCTTGTCATAAGACAAACTCCACCATAAATCATGTGGGCGGCAAGACCTTAAAACTGACTGCGCCTTTGGTACACGGGCATTTCATACTTAGGCCGGGGGGGGGGCTGTGTGGAGCTGCTCCTCTATACTTTACATCATCGATATTTCTTGTCAACTATGGCCTGGTTACCACTTAATGGCTTCTTGACATTTCGCACATGGATACTACGTTGATCCACTCGCACCACAATGCATTGGAAGTATCGAAACTTAATGATGGGAAAGTTCGAAAGGCGAAATGCTGCTCAACTTTCCCCCCCCCGTCCCCCCCTTCCCCACCTTCCCTCTAACAGCACGTGGTACTATTTACTTCGCGCTTTCCTCCTTGGTACGCCTCTCTGTGTCATATTGGTAAGACATATTAGTTCATGACGTGGAAAGACATTGATTCACGAGTGTCCTGCCCAGTGTTCACCAGTGTCCTGCTCGAGCTCTGTGTCCCACGCGGTTTTCTTATCGTAGGAACCCCTCAACAGGCACATCACCATGAAAAAAAGGATAAAGGATCGATCCCATTTGTCTTATTTGGGATGTGGGGGACATCGTTCTTCTATTCAGAACTTTGAATGCGATGTGCTCTATACAGTGAGCCAATGTTCAAGTCAGTGTTCTATCATTTCAGACAATCTGGTAGCAATTTATGTCGACGGAGGGTAAAATGCTTCGTTGTCTCGGGCGGGAGTCGATCCGGGATTTGATCCTCGGAGCGCGCGTGTTGAGACGTAATAACTTACCACAAGTTACGTCTCAACATCTGCGTGGCAGCCTGATGCATAGCGCAGTACAAAGGGTATGATAATTGGCGCCGAATGAACTAATTCTTCAATAATTTAGATAAAAAGATGTGTTCCATAGGCTTACTGAAGTCTTCAAACTTACTGGAAATGATACTGCGCCAGAGGTGCAGGTCTTTCGCTTCGCCCGAAATCTGTCCGAAAAGCAACAAAATCACTACGGGACATTGTTGTCAAATATTGGCGTTACAAAAAAAATGAGATGCTTCTTGGAAAGTGGAAGTCTTATAGATTCTGGCAGTGTTTTGGTTTCTCAGAAATCACGTGAAAAAAAAGGTTATGGCTGTTCAAACCAAGAAAACTCGTAAGTGACACCAAAATTCGCTGTCTCTGTCTAGTCGCGTCCAGCCGCAGCCCTATCTCATGGTCAGCATTCTCATTTCAGCTTATGTTAGTGGAGCTGCCGTTCACGGTTCTTGCATTAAGGTCAGCATTCACTGCCGTGGAGCATCGCAGCCTTACACTGCCCAGCACAACTTCCCCTTGAACATGCTTGAGCAGCGCCGGTTGCCTGTGGACTCCCTCCACTTCAAATTCTCAATGCTTTCGATGCTTTTGCTTTGGCGGTCTGCGATGATCACATCCAGCCTTTCGCTGCACCTTGTCTTGGAGTTCTTATAGAGGGATTCTCCCCTGAGCAGTTCCTTGTCCTTGGAAGTATGCTCTCCATCTCATTCTGTTCGGCTGGTTTCCTCAGAAGGCACCACTGCAGCTCTTCACAGTTCTCTTGCTTCTTATTAACGTTAAAGTGTGGAAGCGGATTTTCCACCTAAAAGGTGAAACCCTCGGCCCCGACGACGACGATTCAGTCGAATGTTGACTGAACACCGAACACACTTGAATAAAGTCACCGGCAACGTAAGGCACATATAACTAACCTGCTGTACAGCTACTCACAGTTTTTGGTACCTTGATGTCTTGAATAGCGCAATGCCAGGCTAGGTGGAAGACGAAGCTCTCCCGGCCCTCCAGCTCCTCATACAAGGCATCTTTTTCCGTATTATCGGCCTTGGAAACGGCGCTGCCTTAGCGAGTCGTTTACAGCACTTGTAGATGACAAGTCTTGTGGGCTCCTTTTCTTTTGCCAGAGTAGAGCTTATGAAGTAGAAAAAGCAGGGTTCAAGTTTTGTTATCGATTAAGTGTGCTTGAGCCATTCCCAACATTTTTTCCAAAGAAAAAAAAAGTCCAGTTGTGTCATGGTTATGAATTTTAGGGCCAACCTACGGACTTTCATGCTTTGAAACAGTCATATCTTCCTTCATATAAGATCTCTTTTGAAAGTAAGAACAGACCGCAATTTAGAAGATTCACCCCCCTTTGCTCTCTGTGCCCACTAATTAAAGAAGCTCCTCGTTGTGTACATAAATTATTGCGGATAGGGTCGTGCAGCACGAGAAACCCGTTCCTTCGGCACAATACGATTCCTAGTTCATTAGAAAACTTCAGTATGCTTCTGGAACACATATTTTTGTCGGAGTTATAGGAAATAGTTTATTTGGTGCCGACTGGCATCATCTCTGTATTGCGCCATGCATCCGATTCCCAATGTCGGGAGGTGCGGCAGCTTCCAGGTGAGGTTTGTCCCTGGAACATATGTACACCTATGGTATGTAGGGAGCGTATACAGTATTTTCTTTGTTTATTGTTAATCCATGACTCCGTCGTGGGCGGTACCATATTCCTTGCCACCAGGGTACAGCATCGTTGTGTGAAAGAAATAGGAGGGGGGGGGGATCGTATTTGGTGGTTGTTGGGAGAGGGGAGGTCGTATGTGCCTTTGAAAGGAAATTTGGAAATTTGCAGTTTTTTCCAGTTGTTGAGTTTTCGCGTGATTTTTCCTCCTGTTTCATGTGTACTAGTTAGCCCTCACGCTCGATTCAAAAATCTTTGGTGAAGAAATGAAATGGATGGGAAGGAAATTTGGTAGGTGGCGTGTGGGAATGAAGGTGCTATACTACAACCACCATTTCCACATCGCGCATGTGTAACGCCTGCTTGTCACCGCCCCCGTATTCACCTCTGGAGCTAGCAAACTTTGGCCCTCGGTCTTCAGGTGTCTCACCTCTTTTAATAGCATAATCAAGAAACACACTTGTATTAGTCACTGTTTTGTACGACATGCCAGTAATTGCTGCCTGAACACGTTCTGAATGGTCCTGCGGCTAGGACACCCTCTACCTTCACCGTGCAAATACGCCCTCCCATTGTGTTTCCTACTATCAACTAGTTTGTTTTTGCCAGTGTTTACTGGTATTTTCAGAAAAATCGGAGCCCCTTCAGCTTTGGCGCCAACGAGTCCTGTTTTCATACGCCCACCCGGTGGGACCCCCCCCCACCGCCCTTAGCATGCTATGGGTGGTTTACTTTATGAAGATCCCTGTTCTATGCAGAAGGGAGTCGAACCAACAAAACCTCAACAGCTTCCCCCCACCCCAACAAATTCTAGCCCTCTTGATTATTTTTGTGTGGGAACTCGCTCACACCAGAAAGTTCTTTTCGAAAAAAAAAACATCAGCGAAAAAAATCACTTTAATGCCGGGCTCGCAAAACGTCAACCTGACCTGCTAGAAGTGTTGGCGACCAAAGGAACCGCAATTCCCGTATCGGGAAGCCATTAGTCGCGTTCATAGGTTAAATTTAGTAGCGCTCGAAAAAGCCTCCACACAATCGCTTAAGCCGCTTTTCAATTGAATTGTGCGCCCCCACACAAGCAGCCACCCCCGTGTTCTAAACGCCAATACACTGCTCTATGTTATCACCACACCAACAGTAATATTTATAACCGCAATGACTGACATGTTCACCGAAATGTCGTCAGCCCATACAGTCTTTCGTACATACTATAATTGCAGAAACACAACACATGCAAAGATGTAACATTTGAAAAATATTATTCCGGAACAAAACTTGCATTAAACCAACAACTTTACCCTTATGGAATGGGACAACAAAAAACCAAACAATCACGGGTTTACTTCTTCTTAGCTCCAACTCCAGCCTTCTGTGCAGCCTTCGTAACTTTTCCTCCAGCGGCTTCAGTCTTATCAACGGATTTGATGACTCCTACCGCAACGGTCTGTCTCATATCACGTACAGCGAAACGTCCTAGAGGGGCATAGTCCGTGAAGGATTCGACGCAGAGTGGCTTTGTGGGGATCAGCTCGACGATTCCGGCATCGCCAGACTTGAGGAACTTCGGGTTGTCTTCGACCTTCTTACCAGTACGGCGATCGACCTGAAGATCATAAGTTGGTGTGCAATATGAAACACGGGCATGTGAAAGCTTCACTGTACCTTCTCCTTTAGCTCATTGAATTTGCAAGCAATGTGGGCGGTGTGGCAATCAAGAACAGGCGTGTAACCGGCGGCGATCTGTCCAGGGTGGTTCATGATGATAACCTGAACACAACATATTCATGATGTAAAACAATTTACATTTCAAATCATGGTAATGACTTCCAGATACTCGAACTAACCTGAGCGTTGAACGAACGGGCTTCCTTGGCTGGATCATTCTTGGAATCAGAGCAGACTGATCCACGACGGAATATCCTTGACGGACACGTTCTTGACGTTGAAACCGACATTGTCTCCGGGACCAGCCTCGGGAAGGGATTCGTGATGCATTTCAACGGATTTCACCTCAGTGGTGACGTTCTGGGGCGCGAAAGTGACTACCATACCGGGCTTGATAATACCAGTCTCAACTCGTCCGACTGGGACAGTTCCAATACCTGAAACGAATGCAGAATAATAAGGATTAACTAATAGGCATACATTCATATCACAAACCTCCGATCTTGTACACATCCTGAAGTGGGAGACGAAGAGGCCTGTCTGTGGGTCGCTGTGGGGGAACAATAGAGTCAAGAGCCTCAAGAAGCGTCTTGCCAGTAGCATTACCCTCCTTTCGCTCAACATTCCATCCCTTGAACCACGGCATGTTTGGTGATGGCTCCAACATGTTGTCACCGTTGAATCCAGAAATGGGGACAAATGCGACCGCCTTGGGGTTGTAACCGATCTTCTTGATGAAGTTAGAGACTTCGGTGGTAATCTCGTTGAAACGGGGCTCAGAGAAAGGTGGCTCAGTCGAGTCCATCTTGTTGCAAGCAACTATGAGTTGCTTTACACCCAGAGTCTGCGCCAACAGAGCATGCTCACGAGTCTGCCCATTCTTGGAGATACCAGCTTCGAATTCTCCAGTACCGCATGCAACGACAAGCACAGCACAATCGGCCTGAGATGTTCCTGAAAGATGCGAGCGTTTTTGTAGTTCTTCTAGTATATCACATCCACAATCTAGCAAAACTTACCAGTGATCATGTTCTTGATGAAATCACGATGTCCTGGAGCATCAATGATGGTGATGTAGTACTTGGCTGTCTCGAACTTCCACAAAGCGATATCAATGGTAATACCACGCTCACGCTCAGCCTTCAGCTTGTCGAGTACCCAAGCGTACTTGAAGGATCCCTTACCCATCTGCAACCATATGTTCGAATTAATTCCAATGTGAATGGTGAGTTTTAAGTAGTTTTAACAGGATCGATGCCAATTTAAAGACACACAGCTGCACCGCTAGCTATCAAAGACGCGACCGGCCTCCGCGTGCAAACAAAAACTGTGACCCGTCGGAGGCTATTCGGCCCGCGCTCCCGATGAGAATTTCAAGCTCTTTGGGCGAACATTTGCAAAAGACTCGTTTCTCAAGAGCCAACGAAAAGCCGTCTTCGAAAACAAAAACAAGTCTGCCCCTATACTGATAACCGGGTGGCCTTTACACAATAGCCCATCACTCAAAATTCACGAAACATCCAGAAAGCGAAGAAGTCCACCAAAAAATAAAGGGTATGTATCCTAATCGATAAAATGTTTTCGAAATCCCTACCTCCTGGGCTTCCTTCTCGAACTTCTCAATGGTTCTCTTATCAATACCACCACATTTGTAGATGAGATGTCCGGTAGTGGTTGACTTTCCTGAATCGACGTGGCCGATGACGACGATGTTGATATGTATCTTTTCCTTGCCCATTGTGAGTTAAGCTGAAACGCACACTTTACTAGTACTTCGAAACTCAGCCTCACGAACACGACGTCTCACGAATCAGAGAGTGATACGATTGGATTTCCGATTACTTGGAACACCTGAACTAATCTACGATCTACCTACTTTTCAAATCAGAACGAAAACAACAGAGTAGCAGCGAGCGAGGCCGTGCGTTCAAGTGAGGTGTCAGCACGCCGAGAACCGTCTCCTCCGCCTGCGTAGCAGCCCCCACAACGCGTGGGTGCATCGCACGAACGCACCACGTCGAATGGGCTGCTACGAAGCCGCCAACTGCACGTCAACCCCTATGGCGCGAAAAATGGATTTAAATTGCTCATGAAAATAAGTGAAGCTGACGAGCTCTCGTTTTCCAGTTGTCGACCGCTGCAAAAGAATTTATTGACCCGTGTATGGCTTCAGGGCGTAGCATGAAGGTTTCCTCACTCTCGCGGTACAGATTCGGCTTTATGCACCTGTTTGGCGAAGTCATGAAGATCATTTTTGGGTCTTTAGAGAGTTTCGCCCAGGCGTAACTGGACTGTCGATTAAATCTGCACCCGGAAAATGACAGACGTGTTCCTCGAGGGTCTGCTGACAGATTGAACTCAATCCCTTCGATAGCATCAATTTTCTGTTATCTCAGAGTTCTCACTCTATATGGCGTTTAGTAACCACTCTGCCTTTCACATTCCAACTTTTCACGCATAATAAGTGGCTCGTCCACCACGGTGTCCTTTCCCTTAAAAAAATTCGTTTCGTTTCTGTTCGATGTTTTTTGCAACCCTGGTCCTTTGTTTCTCTGCGCTCTAGCCTTTCGCAGCAGGACCCCCATCAGAAGTATTATTGTCACATAAACTTCCTCGAGGCAACTATTCAGCTTTTGAGGAAATGTATGTCGCTCGTTGTGGGACCAAAACGTAATGTGCCTTTGACATCTATCGATGGTTACGCTTCTTTGGCTTGGTTTTACAAAAGAAGCTGTTAATATTCCTGGGAACCTTTACAGGGCTTTTGCAGTTACACTGACCCAAAAAGCCTGGTACTGACTTCTGCTCAGCACGATGCGGGCAACCTTTCACCATTTCTTTGTAACTGATAATATATTTACTAAAAGTGTAATTACTGCGCTCTTTTGAAGGGCATCGCAGTATGCCCAAGGGTTTCAAAGAATCGCAAAAGTGCGCGTAGAGGTTATCCCACTCACGTCGCAGTTTTGTGTCCTTGAAGTTTCAGGCAGTTCTCATTTTCCCTCGTTCACGATCGTTTCTTTGCACCTTGCACCCTATTGCGTCGCCTATTTGGATTAGCACTCGTAGCATTATTAACAAGCATTAACGCAAAGTATGTTTGTGTATGCTTTGCCAGTAATCCGAACTATGGTTGTTCTTCAGATGTGGAAGAGGTCAAGAAGAAAAGTGGTAATGTTTAACGCGCTATTCGACTTAATCCTTGGACTGAGGTCGATTTTTCCGGGTGAATGTTTTGGCTTTGGTTTGAATGAGTAAGCTCACGGACAGAAGTGATAGTTCCAGAAAGACCAATCCTTTGTTGGTGAAAGGGCGTTATTAATGTTGAAGGGACGCGTGGTTCCACCATGAACTGGACCAGAAAACGCCTATCATTTTTCCCGGATGTTGGCAGTCGTAACTGGAGGCAACCTGCGGCGAAAGTAGGCAACGGCAAGCCCGGTCGTCCGCATTTTTTTCCTCAAACGTTGCCCATTTCTGCGCCTTCAAATTTCGAACAACGTTCGGAAGGTGCTGCAACTCTTTTTGAGACGGAGGGTGAGGGTTCCTGAGTTCCTAAAAGGTCGAGGGTAGCAAACGAGGTTCAGAATACAATGGACTAACGAAGGAACTAGTTCTATGAATCGAGTGATATCAGTAGCCAATAAAGGAGGGACCGCGTCATGAGTGCCGTGAAATAAGTAGCAGTGTTCGTAGCTCACTATCAATCAAATAGTTTCGTCAGTAGAAGTTTTCGATGAAAGCCGTCCTATAATGGCCACCATTCAACTGAGCAATTTGGTTGCTTCCTTACGGAGGCTATTTTGAACTTCCAGACTTTAATCCCTTTAAAAGTTTCGGTACGTATCGTGTATGATTCAGAATCATCGCTTCTTTTGTCGGTTCGTGTTTTGCTTCACTTATTTTAGTGTAGGATCAGTTTTTTTCAAGCCTCTTACCCCTGTTCCTCCGTGTTTCATAATAGAATCGCTCCATTGATTGTTGCTTGACGGCGAGAAAAACAAATTTAGTGTTTGACGTAAGCTCTCATGTCGGTGACACAGCAGATCGAACTGGTTGTTGAGCTACATACCAGAAGTAGCACTGCCGAAAAAGAAGTCTATGCCTGCAACGTCAAGTGCACCGCTGAAGTCTTGTTGCACGGAAGGGATGTCTCAAATCGTCAGGTTTGCGGGGTTATCAGGAGCAGTGGCTGTTGCGGTTGGAGCCTATGGAGCACACGGTTAGTTCTGCATCTTTCTATTTGTGTAATTATTGCATGGATGTCTATAACTGTGCATGAATCCGGCAGTTTCTATTTATTATAAAATGGAGTGATTATGCCCTCGGTTTGATTACCTTATGGAACTTATTGTAATAGGAATGCTAGCCTTATTGGACTTTGTAGCTCCACAGAACGTTTTCAGACCTGCGACAGATAAAAAACTTGGAGACAAGGGCAAACAAAGGGGGGGGACGAGGAGCTAGACAGCCTCCGCGCTCAAGTAATTCATGGTCGTGCTTCCTTGTTCAAGTAGTCCAACTCCTAAGAGACTGTCTCACTCACACGCCAACAGACGACTTCAAAGCGAGTGAGGAGCGTGTTACAGCAGCTGGAAGTTCTAGTTCTAAAGCCCGCTCAGTTGTTCTTTGTGCTGCGGGCATTAATCGGAATTGCATGTACTTTTTGCTGACCGCGCTCGTGCCCATAAATAATTCTGCTCTCCTTTATTACATTTTATTTATTAGGAGCACATACAGTCAACTGCAACCCATCTCGCAAGGTAAAACGCGTAAAATTCACGAGTGATGGAATTTTCTTGGTGCAAAAGCTCGACTCACTATTCGTACGCCGAGTTTTTGAAAGTTTCTTTCTTTTTCTAAAGCTCTCCGTCGGGGTTTTTGTTGTTTTCGTATTCTTTTCTTTGCATATACTACCAGGAGATGCGAGAAAGCGGTTTGTGAACCAGGGGTTGCACAGAGACTGCAGGACGGTGTGACTTCAGGGAGCTATTGTGTTCATAGTATTCTTGAGGACTCCTCTTGCTTTTTCCTTCTTTGAGAATTACTATCAGCTACTGTTTCATAATTGAAGAGCAACTAACCATGACACTTCATGTCTGTAAGAACCAACTTAGAGCGTTCTCGTCGGCAGCGTTTCGGAGCGTTGAGCGTCCGCCAGTTTCAGCAGTACGATACATACACTTTCTTAGTCGCTTTATGGAGCTAACAAGGAGGTCTTTCAGGTCGTGGCGCGCTTTTCGGAAATGGTTTGTTGCTTGTTGTAGGGGTCCATACAAGGATCTCAAAAATGGGTTTCATTTTTGCTATGCGCTTTCTGGGGAGGTCAAACTGACGTGAAGAATTTGACAAGAATGGGCGATTTTAACTATCTTGATGGACTCCGTTCTGATTGTAACTTTGGGCATGCATAGTTTATGAGGTGCTCGTTAATTATGCTTCGAAAATAGTTCAAATGAAGTATCGTATCGTCGTCCCATCCAGAATCCTTCGAGTTATCCGCTGCGCCATCCGATCCGCCGACAGTGAGCGTGAGAGGACCGCAGACAAAGACAACACTGTTGCGTCGGTGCATGCCCAGTGTATTACTACATGACACTTACATTTTGACTTTATTTGAAACCATTTCCGAAGCCTAATTAAGGGCACCTCATAAGCTATGCTTGCTCGAAGTTACAATCAGAACGGAGCCCATTAAGATAGTTAAAATCGCCCATTCTTGTCAAATTTTTTCACTCAGTTTCCACCTCCCCAGAAACGCATAGCAAAAATGAAACCCATTTTTAAGATCCTTGCATGGACCCCTACAACAAGCAACAAATCATTTCCAAAAAGCGCGCAACGACCTGAAAGACCTCCCTTGTGAGAACACTGGCGGGTGGCTCACAGCGCTGAATTGACACCCATACTTTCCTATTCACTCAACACGCTGCCCGAAAATATGACCGCACTCTTTCGTGGCATTCCGCGGAGTATACGATTGTCATGGGAGAAATTGTATTTAGGGACGACGCGTCTGCACGGCAATCTATAAACCCACGCGTGCTTGCAATTTGGAAGCGATACATCCAGCATAAAATCACATGCAGTATTAAATTAGGTGCTCGCTTCAGTGTCCAGCCTCGCTGTTCGCTCTGATAGGGTGTGGGTTGTCATGACCGTTAGATTTCACTTCACACTCAACTTCGGGTAAGTACATGGCAACTGCTGTGCAGAGAAACTTGAACAAATCCTACTAGCGAGTTAATTTAGCTTGCCTGCTGACCTCTCATCTCCTCTCATTTGACTGTCGCAATGTTTCTGGATGCCACACTTTCAGTCTCATTGTCATGTAGTATTGCTGGGGTACGAGGGACTGTCCTGTTGCGAAAAACAGCAGCGAAATGTCGCTGTCGCGATAACAAAACCATCGCGAAAGTACGCCGATCGTAACCATGATGTTTGCGACTGTTTGCAGCAGTCGCGCGCGACGCCGCCTGGTCCTGCGGTCACATACCCGAATGTCATCTTCATGATCAGGACATTCAAGTACTTTTGTTCGAAATTTCAGCGGGACGCTTAGGCTGTAATACGCGAATGTTCATTGAAATGCTTTCCAGTGCTTGTTTAGCTGTTCATTCTTGCAATCTTGTTCGCTGCAGATGAATGGGCGTGTCAACGGTGTGGGTTGGCGCGGCGCCAAACCCCTTTTCCTCCAGTTTTTGCCGATTACTCGCTTTAAAAACTGGTGGTGAACGG